TCACTGGCCTATGCGTTGTGTCCCACAACAATGCAGATACAACACATATTGTTACTTCCAGTCCTAGGGAAAGTAGGGGTGTCTTCTCTTTAGCATTCAAAGACAGGAGAAGGGGTCTGGAAGCCCGGGAACCTTCCCAGCTTTTCAAACTGCAGTTCTTAACCTATTGGTGAGTTGTAAAATCAAATTAGTGTGTGAGACCAGCATTTTTTCTAATAAAATAAAATAAAAGTGTGAAGGAAAAGCCGAGCTGGGCCTACTAGTAAATCTAAGTGTAACAAGTGTCAGTTTGCTGATTCCCTGCTCATTTTTTTTTTTTTTGCTAGCCAACTGGGTTTTCAAAGAGATATATGTGGCCTTGAAATGTTGGTTTGCTGCCTCCCTGCCTCTACTTTTGTGATAATGATGCTGCTAAAGCTGTTCCATGCCTATTGGCCAAATACCCCAAGCTTGTAATTAACCCTATAAAATCTGATGCACACGTCTTGGAGGGGCTCAGAGCTTCAGAGCAGAAGCCCCTCTGAGCCCGCTGGCATAATAAATCTGAGTACTCCAACCCTCTGAGTGGTGCTTGTTTCTTGACTGGCCTGTCATTTCCATAACAAAAGCGAATTATAGTGTATCACTCATCATAGGTATTGTCTCAGAAAACTTTTGTTTCAACATTGTAAAGACCTGTTAAGGCAGATCAGGGTAGACCCCACCCAAACCCAGTGTCAGAGAAGGGCAAGGAGGTCCCTGAAATAAAGCTGTAGGGATTAAAAGGGAATAAGAACAATAGAAAAAAAAAAAAACAAACACCCAAACTGGGCTGTCCCTCCATCCCCAGTGGAACTGGAAAGAAACAGGAGATTATAATTCTGGGTCTCTTTGGAAAGGAAAGTCAAAGACAGACTCCAGAATGTATCACAACCCAGCTCTTCTAGAGCAGATGCTACCACGGAAGTAGCTGACTCTGTAAATTTCTAATAATACAACCTGAAAGTAGCTGAATGGTTTGAAAAGGAGCCTTCATGAGCTTTTAAGACTAGGGTGTGGGAAACTGCAGTCTAAGACAATGTGGGTTTGGTGGGAAGGAAGAGGGACACATTTCAGACTGGATGTGAGAGGATCCAGCCTTCCCAACAATTGTTTCTCTCCCTATATAACTGACTCCAGAAGGTTCAAAATCTTAGAGAAACTTGACACTCTCTGGCTGATCCTATTGGCACCCTTTTGCCCATTATATATACCATACCACTTTGACAGCCACCCAATAGGCCAATTATTAAAGTGGGCAAAGGATAATTCCCATTAAAGCAAACATGAATCACCACTAACTATACCTATCTCAGTCAAAGGGTCTTTGTCTTTCAAGAAATTAAAAATGAGAAACTTAGTTCTTTCCCAGTACCTTTGTCACTCTCACTTAAATATGATATCTAAATATTTCACACTGGTTTTCATTCTTCTTTTCCCCTCAGAGAGTTATCAAGAATTACAGAAAAGGCATAAAGTAATGAAAAAGACATAATTTCTATCCACAAAACTGTAATAATTTAATTTATAATTGAAAACTCCCTATTGTATTTACTATGCAACAAATATACAGTTTAGTCTCTGATCATCACAGCTATTTGGCTGTGATGTGAGAGACATAGTTATCCCCAAGTAAAGACTGAAAACCTGAAGCTTTAAAGAGCTTAATAACACCTCCTAAAACCCAGTCATTTAGCTACAAGTCCTCCAAAACTGTCTCTTCCTGGGTCATTCTGACATTTCTCACATCAAAGCCCTCATTCACCTCACAGGAAGCTTCTAGGAAGGGGTGAATTTCTGGTGGACAGATAATAAGGGGGGCCACTACCACCTTCTCCTGGCAACTCAGGACAGAAGAATGGACACAAAGGCTCCAAACAGGAGAAACTGCTGTATATGTAGATGAGGGCATCATTTCTAACATCAAAAAACTTGATTTCTTCCAACTCAGTGTCTAGAAAAATTCCCACTTGGCTGAGGCCAGGGCTTGCAGGAATTCTGGTCTCTAGGATGGAGCCGGTATAGATTGTTCCTGCTTTCATGCTGATGATGCAAAAGCCATGCTCAGAGGAGAAACTGTTCTTCCTCTTTCTTTTGACTGATTTTTTGCAGACCCCTAGAGCCCACTCCTTCCCTTCTCCCACTTCTACCTCCCAGTAATGGCTGCCAGAGAAGAAGCACGGGGTGCTCAGGACACAGGGCTGGTAGGCAAATCTCTGGGGACCTTCCTTCAGGTTTTGGCAGAACTTCCCACACTGGACACTCCTTAGGTCATCAGAGAGGACAAGAAAGGAGTTGGCGGTGTCTGCATCCAGAGTTACATCCTCTCAGAACTTCCAGTACTCATCACTGATGTGCAGACTCTGATCCAGCAGGGAACCATGCTGTGAGATGAGAAGAGCCAGTTCTTCAACTTGCCATTCCTCCAAAACACGGTTGTCAGTGACTTCTCAACACATGGGGCAGGTCAATTTCAGATCCTCCCATTCCTCTATCCGACTTTGCATGCAATCAAAGCAGAAAGTGTGGGCACAGGAGAGGGCAATGAAGAAAGCATCCAGACAAATTGGACAGGCTGCCTCCTCTTGCAGACTTTCGGCCATGCTCTTCTTCAGCAGTGAACTGAGCTGAAATGGCCCTTTATTAGCTTCTGGGAGTGATCAGGAGCATTCTGTACACAATCTGCTCTTCAATAACCAGGCTGTATCTAAACTCAATACAAAAATTAAATAATATAAATCTTTCTGTAATTTATACATGGAAGTGACACCAAGTCACCAGAGAATCAAAGTAAAGGCACTCTCTGTGAGAAAAACTATTCAAAATGTTAAGTGATCACAAGAAAGAGAAATAGCATTATTCACAATAGCCAAGTTATGGAAGCAACCCAAGTCCCCAACAATAGATGAATGAAGATGTTATATATATACATTTGCAATATGCCATTTATGACAACATATGTGGACCTAGATGGTATTATGCTAAGTGAAGTGAGTTAGACAGAGGACAAATACTGTATGATTTCACTTATATGAGGAATCTAAATAACAAAAGAAATAAAATAACAAAACAGAAACAAAGTCTACAGGGAGCACATGGTTGCCAGAGGGGATGAGAGGAAAGAAATAGTGATAGAGATTAAAAGGTACAAACTTCCAGTTGCAAAATAAGTGAGTCATGGGTATAAAATGTACAATGTGGAGATTACAGTTAATGACTATGTAATATTTTTGTATGGTCCCATATCTTAACTAAACATACTGTAGTGATCATTTTGAAATGTATAGAAATACTCAATCACTATGCAGTGTAACAGGAACTAACACAGTGTTGTAGGTCAATTATATTTCAAAAACAAAAAAACAAATAAACAAATTCATAGAAAAAGAGGTTGTATTTGTGGTTACCAGAGGGATGGGAGAAGGGGCAATCGGATGAAGGCAGATACCCTGTCTATTGCTACACAGGATAAGACTGACTCTCCCTCCTGAACTCTACAGATAAAGGCATTTGAAAGATAAGTATAACCGATGAGAGAGAAATGGAATAGTGGAAACAGCCTAGACAGTAAAGATTGCTTACACTGATTTAGAGACGTTCAGCTGATGCCCCAAAGCTCTAAAGTCTGTGCTTGTACCTCTCCAGGCTTCCCTGCAAAGTGAATTTGAGCTCAGATCATCTGACTTTTTACAGTGCCTGGAGCACAGTCCCCGCCCACAATCAGGATCCTAGTCTAAGCCCCAAGTCTAATCAAGTAAACTTACTCTTCTGGTGCGAGATGATAGCATGAGGTCACATGTCCGATTTCACACTACTACAGTTATCCTCTCTGTCAGGCTAGCAAACCTACTGTCACCTGAATTAGATTCTCTAATTTCAGAGCTCTACTTTAAAAAACAAAACGTTTTAGAGAGCAAATACAGAAACACACTTTTGAAATCTAATTAAGCCTTGCCTAATGTAATCACATCTCTGACACAACTTGAGTGAAGAGGGTCTACAGAAGTTTTCATATCCCTTGACTCAGCAATTCCACTCCTGGAGGATAGTTATTGAACAGGATAAGAAAGAGAGCAGCCAGGCAAGCCTGTTGCTCTGTCATATTAATAACACACCCATTTACTTTCAGGATTGTCCTAGTTTAAACAATAAATTACATAGTGTCTTTATTGGATGTAAGAAGAACAATGAAAATCATAATGAAGAAGAGCTAAGGCACAATCATCAAAAAAGATAAAAACTTTAATTCAAAAAGATACACCCACCCCATGTTCATAGCAGCACTATCTACAATAGCCAAGACTTGGAAACAACCCAAGTGCCCATCAACAGACAACTGGTTTAAGAAAATGTGAGAGATATATATAAATGCAATATTACTCAGCCATGAAAAAGAATGAAATAATGCCATTTGCAACAAAATGGGTGGACCTAGAGATTATCATATTAAGTGAAGTAAGTCAGATAAAGACAAATATTATATATCACTTATATGTGGAATCTAAAAAAATTATGCAAATGAATCTATATACAAAATACAAATGTACTCACAGACAAAACAAACTTATGGTTACCAAAGGGGAAAGGGAGGAGAGAAGAATAAATTAGGAGTGTGGAATTAACAGATATAAACTACTATACATAAAAGAGATAAGCAACAAGGATTTACTATATACACAGGGAACTATATTCAATATCTTGTAATAACCTGTGAAAGAAAATAATCTAAAATCTAAAAAATAAAAAAATACATATATATATATATATATATATATATAACTGAATCACTTCGCTGTATGCCTGAAACTAACTCAACATTATAAATCAACTATACTTCAATTTTGAAAATTGTTTTAATAAAAACTAAAGGGAGTTGGAAAGTCAGTGAATTCCTCCTGTTGCTAAGGGCAATCTAAGACTTCCCCTGCAATACACGCATTCCAAATAACCTCCCATTTCTCAGAAGGATTCTTGCTCTTCTTGCAAGGACAACTGTACAACCTTCATTGTATTTTTACTTGGTTGCTATCTTCATTTTCATGAGTTAAACATCTACAGCAATGGGTCCCAAACTTTAAAAAAAATCTTAAATCTCAAGACCCTTGACACTCTTACACCTGACTGAGAACCCCAAAATCTTTGTGCTTATGTGAATTCTATTTCTCCATATCCACATCATTAGAAATCAAAACTGAGAGGCATTTTTAAAGAATTTATTAAATTCATTTAAAATAACAAAACCATTATATGTTAACATAAAATAATACAGTTTTATGGAAAAAAACTTTATTTTCTGAAACAAAAAAAAATTATTGGGAAGAATGCCACTGTTTTGCATGTTTGCAAACCTCTGTAATTCCTGCTTAATAGAAGACAGATGGATTCTCACATCTGCTTCTGCTGATCTGCTGCGATATGTTATTTTGGTTGAACTATGTGAAGAAAATTTGGCTTCCCACAGATATTTAGTTGGAAGACTTTGCAGATGCCCTAATAGGGTCTCCCCCCCAAGAAATCCTCCTACCATTATTAAAGGACCATTGCTCTACAACAAATTTCATAACTCCAAATGGCAGTCCTAAATCTTAGTTTCTTGGCAGCCAAACACCGTAATGATGAACCCAACCATCTTTTTCATGTGGTTTCTGCCGTCTCAGAACTACTTCATGTGATGCAGCTAAGTATGAATCAGTTTCCTTTCTTTGCCCAATTATGATAAGGTTCTTTTTTTCTATTTAAATTATTTAACTGCAATGATGATGCCAAGTCAGGTTGTTCTCCATAGCACTGCATGACATCTAGTAGGCCCTCAACAGATGCTTAATTATGACAGAAAGTGTCATCTCTCTTTGATTTACATTTTTCAGCCAGCTCTGATTGTGGCTTGAGTATACACTAACTCTGTGAGGCCTGAGCCTTTGTTTGCTGGGAGAAATATTTCTTCACCAGAAATACTTAATTCCCATATTCTTTATTACTACTAAAATGCTGAGTTCAGGGAGAAATGACATTTTAAAAAAATTTTCAAGTGCTGTAAATATATGGAGCCATTTTTCTGTAATATCTTAACAGTCTCATGACAACATATCAAAAATGTGCATAAAGATTTTTTTTAATTTTTGGAATAATTTTTAATTATCATTAGTGCTTCTACAAGTTAAGATTAAATCACAGAATGAGCTTGTTTCCATAGCTTCCTGATTAAAGAAGAAATTGACTTTCATACATGCTAGTTAGATAAGATGCAGCCTCTGGTGAGGGGTGGGGACATAGTCAGCCCTGTCAGGAACTAACATCCCTACAAGAAGATGATGTGTTTGCTTAAAGCACAGTCTGTGTTTTTCAAAAGGGAGCAGCTGTAGTGGGGCAGCTTTTCACAATTAGCTCCCATCCCCTGGTGTGGGACTCATCCTCCTTTCTTCTCTGCTGCCCTGTCCTACATTAAAGTGGACCCTTCTGTGTATCTGAAAGAAGATATAAGGCACCTCTCTGAATTATTAATGCTGCCAAAGCTCGCTAATGGAGCTCCCATGCTCTTCTCTTCAAAAGGATCCATGCTCTGCAGACCTGGAAAGCTCCACGGAGAGAACATTTTAGGCATTTTAGAATATACAGAATGTTCTACTCCTGCACTCACTGGAAAGGACAGACTCTACAAAAAAGTCAGAGATGATTAGATGATTAGACTCCATAGTTACATATTTGATAATATATAATCTCTACTCTGGTCCTATTCACAAACCTCTTATTTTTTTGGTTCTTCTGAAGCTTTTTTTTTTCTTTTTGCCAAATATATTGAGGAAAAAATTGAATAATGTTTATGTGTTTTATTCACAAGGTGTGTTCCTATCTGGATGAGAGCTGGCCACAGATATCCTTAACTACAGCAAATTTTCTGT